AGCGAGGAAAAAGGCAAATTCGTACCTGTATTAGTGTCATTTTATGCCCCAAAGCCAATTTTACTCGTATTTTGGTATTTATAACATGTTTATTCGACTGTAAATACACCCAAGAGTGTAAAAGAAATAATTCTACAAGGATACTGCAAAGGTGCATATTCTTTTGTCCATTATCTTCTCTTTTTTTTTACACTTTATTTTGGCTGCGCAAGAGCACTTTTTACAGTGTCACACGCATGCGCAATAACGCCCTGCTCAGGCAGCCGCTCTTCTCTTCATCGAAGTCACGTGGTTGAAGAGAAGAGGAAGTTGACTCCGGGTCAGGCGTGCGTGCCTTTTGTTGGGATTTTGACCGCATTATAACTTTGAATTAGTAGTTGTTTATGCATTTTGTCAACATTACCTGGTTCAATTAAGAGCTATGTGCGGCATTGTTATGTCATGTTGTCGCGTGCGAAAATAGGTCCACTCGATTAGGTTTACACTGATCCATAAATCGCTCCCCTTCATGAGATTAGATTATTCTGAGCGCATGGGGCTAATTTAATACATGTATATATTGATATAGAAAGGTTCAGCTCTATGAGCCCTAAGCAGGTGTCATTAAATCGATCAAAATGAATTGCATCTTGAAAAGTATATATTTTTTTAATATTAGGTCTCGTCATCGGGTGTACATTGTGACATTCCAAAATATCTGCGTGTTTTTTTAGACAGCATCAAAGCAGATTCCTCACTCGATGGCGTCATTAACGCCATTGTCATCATTCTTATGTAAACAAGTCTGGCGAGGAGAAGAAGCCGAGCGCTTTCGCCGAAATGGTGTAGTGATTAAAGCGGCCGCTGGAGGGAGCCACTGAAGATGAAGAAGAAGTGGATGTGTGACGTGTCTGGCGCGCGCGCACTTGTCCCGGGTCCTTTAGGGACTTCCCGGTGCTCCCATAGGCGTTCCTGTGGGTTTGGAGATGTTCCATGTGTAGTTTTTCAGGTGATTTCGGACAACCCTGACATCATATCCCCGGTTTTTCCCACTGTGTTGTTTTGGGCGTGTGCCCGCTCGAGAGGCAGAATAAAGGAGGGATAGAAATCAGGTGACTTTCCAGAAAATCCTAAATGAAGTGAATGACTTTACCAAAGAGTATGTTTGTGTATGTGTTTGAGTTGATGCACGAGAGTGTTCTGAGTGCTTTTCGGCGAGTGTGTTGACGTGAGGGGGAATTGTGATGGAGTGTAAGATGGTGGGTGTGTCATGTGCCGCAGCGTGGGCGAATGCATCCACGGGCGTTAGAACGGGAGGTGAGTGTGGATGTGTGATTTTGTGAATGAGGCAATATGTATATTGCACGCACAGTCTCTTACGTGAACTGAGTTCACGTAAGAAACTTTGCGTCGGTTACACACACACACACACACACACACACACACACACACACGCGCACACACACACACACACACACACACACACTTTTCAGATATGTTTCGAATGGTTGTAACTTTTCTAAAATGATACCCTTACATTACGGAAAGTCTTTCTACACTGATATGTCATATCTTTGTTTATCGTAGTTGCTTGTCACCGCAATACGAGTGAAACTCATACCACTGGAGACATTCCTGGTGTGTTTTACATACCTGACCAGGAAAGATGATTCTGATTTTAATTTTTACTTTACGAATAGCCAAAATAAAATTTTGTAATGAATGATAGATAAATACATAACAAATATGTATTTTGACAATATTAAATTCCCAAACCATTTTATTTGGATGTTAAATCCTAAATCGATAAAACGGATTGATTTAATGATTTACTCCCAGAGAAAAATGAGTTTAATTTTACAAACTAAAAGATAATGTTTGAATAAACGAGCTATCCATCCATCCACCCATCTTCCGATCTGCTGATCCTCACAAAGCTCGCAGGGGGTGCTGGAGCCTATCCCAGCCGTCTTCGGGCAGTTGGCGGGGGACACCCTGAACCGGTTGCCAGCCAATCACAGGGCACACAGAGACAAACAAGCATCCACACTCACAGCATGGGACAATTTAGAGCATTCAATCAGATGATGTTTTTGGAATGTGTCAGGAAACCGAAGTACTCAGAGAAAACCCACGCAGGCACGGGGAGAACATGCAAACTCTACACAGGAAGCTGGAATCGAACCCGGTACCTCTGCACTGTGAGGTTGACGCACTAACCACTGGGCTACCGGGCCACCAATAAACAAGCTACTTAATCGTATATTAAGTCCCACAATATTTTTTTCTCCATTTAATATTATAAACATTTATTTTACCCAATATTTATTGTTTTAATAATAATCCTACATCTAAAGATTCATGTCTTCAAGAATCATTTTTGTCATTGACATCTTCATCCTCCCTGATTTCCTGTCTTCATCCAGACATCAGCCCACCTGGACGGGTTACTTCAGTTCAGTGGGCGTGGCTTGCTGACCGTGACGCAACGTTGCCCCATTTCAGTGACGTACAGCCACCGCGCACGCCCCCAGCCTTTTTACTCCATACAAATAAACGCTTCAAAGCATCAAATGATGCTTATTGTACGTAATGTCAAACACGTCAATTTCACTCATGATGTATTTGATATCAAGAAGATGAGCTGTATGGCCCAGCCTTGTCCCCCCCCC